CAGACCCAATGGATTTAGACTTGATAACTAAGTTGGAAATTTTGCCTTTTTTAGAAAAAATTTTTGGGATATAAATTTTAATTGGGCTAAGACCGGCGCAAATGGATAAGCGCGGAAGCTTGCAAAAAAATGGCTTTTGAATAATCTTCACGTCCAATTTTGTCATTATTTGAGATTATGAAAAAAGAAATCTTTTTTTGGTTCTTTATGTCATGAAAGGATCAATCGTGTTTCTAAAAAAAATTGAAAAAGCAGCTAAACTGAGTCATCTGAGTGATATAAATATGAAATTTTGAAGGATGCTATGTCACAGGTATACTACAAGACGTTGCCCCAAAATTAAAGCAATTGATCCTCTCATGTCATAATGTCTTGTAGTATAGCAGTGACATGGCATCCTCCAAAATTTCATAAATGTATCACTTAAAAAACTCAGGTCGGCTACTTATTCGAATCGCTTGTTTTAATCTTTCAGATATTGGATTTTCACGCAACGAAACTTTTTCATTATTTAAAGAACAAGTTTAAAAAAACAGTTTTGAGCGTGTTAAAGCGTAGACAACATGTGGTTGAGTAAAATATAGTCTGAGGTGCAGCTACAGATGCATTTGTATTTGTTCAAAATGCAAAGTTACCTTCGTCTCGTTACCTTAGGTCTCTAGTGTAACAGAGGACCCGCTTTCGAAATATATAAGAGCATGCCAAGCAACTGCTATGCTGAATTGTCCTCCCACAAATTTTCACAAACATGAAGTGAATTTCAGCATACTGCAGTTGATAGCAGTTTATAGTCATATCGCAATTACTGACCACAATTTTTCTAGAAATGGAACTGAGCAGGCTTTCTTATACTGAGGGAACACAAATACGCTGTTTTAAAGAATCAGACTTGGAAAAAAGAGTTCCCGGATTGAAGCCCTACCTTTAATTTACCCCTTTAATTAAATCTGTCTGTAGTAATTCTAATAATAACCAGTAGTATTCTTCTAATGGCTTAAAAAGTTCCAAAAACTGGGTACAGAAAGCTGTTATCTTCAACCTATAAATACATGGTCATACACATCTGGCGGAAAACGTCCCAAGTGTTAGGTTATGCATTTTGCCTTATTCCTTCATTTGCGAGTACCACTGATTAAAGTCAAAGAGCAGCAGTTTTCGGAAGCCGAACATAAGTGACAACCTAACACTTGGGACGTTTTCCGCCAGATGTGTATGACCGTCACTTATGTTCGGCTTCGGAAAACTGCTGCTCGTTGACTTCAATTAGTGATACTCGCAGAAGAAGGAATTTGACAAGCTTTCCAACACACACTACAGTTTACATTAAACCTGTAGTTTTCTTCTAATGGCTAAGAAGTTCCAAAAAAAGTGGGTACAGAAAGTTGTAAGCTTCATCTTATAAATGCATAACCTAACACCAACGATGTTTTTTGCCCAATTTTTTTGATAGTCACTTATGTTCGGCTTCGAAAAATTGCTGCTCTTTGACTTCAATTAGTGGTACCCGCACATGAAAGAATTTGACAAGATTCACAACACATACTATAATTTGGGGTTCTTCTCTGAAACATTTTGTTTGGAACTAACCCTGGAACATTTAGACTGGAACTAATTATGAGCGGAAAAAAATAAAAAGTTTATTCAAGTACTTTTAAAACCTTTTGAATCACTGATTCATGAATAAAACCTTGAAGTTTACATCGTTTAACTTTTACGAATTTACCTTGGTCCAAACAGAAGCTCATTTTTTGCTGGAACAAATTTACGCAAACAAATAATAGAGTTTGACGCTACCTATGAAATGGTTTTGAAGTCTGGCATATGTTTAATAGGTTAATGCCCTGCCTGTCAAGTGGAGAACAGAAACACTCTTCTGAAGCTTTCTAAAAGAATACTTTTTCATTTTTAGAATCAGTATTTGAAGCCAAAAACTACACTGTATTACTTGATAAATCTCATTTACGTAAGATAAATCATCGCGCTTGGAAAATATAGGCCCATAAATTCCTAAAAGTATTCATTCAGACTAATTTTTCTTTTAGATTGTTCAAGTTGAGTAAAGTAGAAAATTTATTCAGCTTTGAGAATTTCTAAAGCCTCAATTTTCAACTTTTTGTTAAAGTTAATGAGCTTTTTCAGGGGCTTTGAAAGTTCTCAAAGCAAAATGGATTTTTCTAGTTTACCCAATTTGAACGATGTTAAGGAACTATTGTCTGAATAGATAACTTTAAGAACTTGAGGGACATTATTTTCAGAGCACAATGATTTAAGCAAATGACCTCAAAGATAAAGTTTAAAGAATAAAATTTCAAGAAAAAAACCATCTTTGAGTTCATTTATTTTAATCAATTTGCTGAAAAATTAATGAATTATAAGTTCTCAAAATTGTCTATTCACACTATAAAGCTTATTAACTTATGAGAAAAGTTCGAATTGAGATTTTTGAAACAAAGGCAATGAACGAAAAAAACTTGAAATATAATCAACTAACAGTTGGAAAAGAGTAATGAACGCAAGGAAACTACAAAAAAATTGGGGTTGTTTTTTGAAAAACTTTCAACTTTTGAACTCCGAAGAAAAAATGGCCGCAAAGCTCTTTGAATTTGAAGAATAAATAATGATTGACGCTTGTTTGATAAAATTAACCCAATGTGAGAAAACTGGATTAATGGGTAAAACTTTGATTTCGCTGTGAAATCTGACAATTACTTTCCATTTGCGAAATTAGAAGTCAATGACGCTTTTCGTGACCTTACATTTTTGCTTTTCCACAGTGATTTTGCCTTCCTTTTAAAGTTGAAATCGAAAGTTGAACCGCCAGTTGAAGACTTTGCCCTGAAAAACAAAACCTATATAAGAGTACTCACTACGGTCATTACTCTTAATAACAATAGCTAAAAACGTATCAATAGCAGTGGAATCAAATTGAAAGTTCAAAATCTCATCACATTCGGCTCGTCCGATTTTGTCTAGAAACTGAAATTTTCGGAAGTTAAAAACCCCGCATTATAACATAGCTTTTTCCCATCATTTCCCATTTAATTGGAAAGAACCAATTCGACGGTAGATTTATTGAATACCAAATTTGTTTTATTTGGATAATAAAGTCACAAGCCAACTTGAAGAAACAAAGCAAGGAAACATTTTAAATTCCGGCAAGGCGGAGGGTTGAGGAGCTCCATTTTTCAACAGAGTCGGCCGACAAAAATTGTTTTGATTGGATTGGCAATCAATGAGTTCAAGTCAAGAGTGCTAACATGCGCCTAGCAGACCCTAATGGAATGTTGTGAGACAGTATTAACTTAATTGAACAACTTATTTTATTCAAAAAGTTAAGTAATTCCGTTTTTACTTAGCAATAGAAATAGTAGTAGTAAAAAACTTTAATTTGAGAGTGAAGGAATTAGAGCAGCAATTACATAACGAGATCAAATTAAGGCTTATGTGAAAATTTCAAGGACAGTAAAATTGAAATTGGTATTAAAACTTTGTTGAAGCAATGCAAGTACGACATCTGCACTTCAAATGCCAGCTGCAAGTTCTTACAGGATCATAATATACTTCTGTTCGCCGAAAAAGAGCCGATCGTGTTTCGCTTTCATAGTTGTTTGGAGGTATTATTAGGTTGATTTTGAAGATTTCACAAAAATTGTTGACACAGAAAACAACTCTATCGAACAAAGAAGGGAAGGTTCGCCCTTTCTGAGAGTATCACCGATTCAATTTAAGCTTCGATCCACTGCGAAGACTGCGTGTAGAGGTTTTAAAAGAAAAATGGCAAACGCTATACAATTCAAACCGATATTGATTGCTGTAAAAAATCATAGATCTTTGTCAAAAATCTGATAAGAGAGTTGGGCTTCTTTAAAAGCTCTAAGTAATGTAAAAAACTGAAAGATTACTTAAGACCCTATTGATTGAGCTGCTCCAGCTTTCGCAAAGAACAAAGACTTAGAGATCACGCAGAGTAACCAGCCTAAAAACAATTAAAACAAAATGCGATTGAGTGTCTTCAAATTGGTCAATCTCAACCCATTGTTGTTCCGACCAAGGAACTATGGCGGCGGAGGTGGATTTGTGCCAGCCGAATTTGACTATGCTTCAAATAAAATGGGTCAAACTATTCAAACTCAAAATATATAGTGGACTCTTCAAACTAAATCGAACTTTTTCATTCAACGATGAATGACCCGCCAAGCAAACAAAAAATGATACCTGTTAACGGCCTGCTATAATTTATGGATCTCTCATCTCTCATTGAAAATATAGCCAATAGACAGTTGGAAAATATTCATGAACGCAACGAAACAGAAATAAACACTGATTTGCATTTTGAAAACTTCAACTTTCGAGTTTCAAAGAAAAAATATAAGCCTTTTGAGCTCTTGAACTCAGGAAACTCATGGTAATATTTTTTTTTGATAAAGCGAACTGAACTCAAATTGAGAGCGTCAAACCTCGTAAAACCCTCAATTTCAGCGTGAACAATTTCGCGAGGGAAGATCCTGAGCTACTTGAACAGCAACCGGTTACTATTATTAAGTTTTTGATGGGGTTTCTTTAGTGCACCTTTTATAAAGTTTTGATTAAAAAATGGGTTTTTACGGCGCGCGCTCTCACCTCGAATTGAGCGAAAATTAGCCACCAGAATTGACGAGGAACCATCACCTCCACTCTTTCGGCACGGTACTGCTTCCGAGATACGACTGGTTTATCAGAGCGCGTGACAGTTTGTAAACTGAATGGCCTCAGAAATTCTGTTGATTTGTTAGACTAGTGATTAGTGCATGCGACCACCCCCCAACTACACGAGGTTCGAAACCTGCTAGGATATTTTTGCACGCTACCCTCAAATCAACCACCTATGCTAACATATCACAGGTTTCAAATTCAGGTGATCATGATATATTAGCATATATTTAGTTCGATAGATCAGAAAACAGATTTGCCGCGATAAAACGTATATATTTTTATTTCAACTGCTTTAAAGTCGATGATGTTTACTTCATTATCTTGTATTGAATAATTTGGGTGACAAAAATAGCCAAAATCATCACATCGTTTTCGTACTTTACAGCTGGTGCCTTGAATACACGTAACACCAGAGGAAGCATTCTGCAGGTGCAAATAACAATTCCGCAGATGCTTTCCAACAGCATGTTGTTCATGTGGGCTGCCATGAATTTGATCTCTCGCGGCGTGAACGAAGCGTAGGCGTCACCTGAGAACAGAAGGAGTCAATACTTCATATCTAATTTTTAATGGAAAAACAGTCAATAGCTTTAAAATCAATTTTTTTGACAGACAGACAAATATTTTGACACATTTCAGGTTTTTGAGGTATTTAAAGCAGCGCAAGAATTCTCGCATTCTTTTTTTCCCTTTACAACGATTCGACAATCAAGTTAAACGCTCATCATTTAATTCAGATTATTTTGCTGAGCGCTGCATGTAAAATGCTCGATTCATATTTGAACAATTTCAACTTTGGATCAAGTTAACATCCCCTCCCCAAACTGCTTCGGGGGTGTATATTTTGACTAAATATCGAAGTAGAAAAACTCATTGAACTCACTAATATTATGTACTTGTATTAAGACCCCCCACCCAAAAAACGACAATTTAAATGTAAAATTCATAGTTCTAACTGGCTTCATGCATCGAAAAATTATTTTCTTTAAGCTATTTTCTTACTTTTGGTTTCAGCCCACTTCTTTTTGTACCACTTCCATTTTCGGACACATTTCACCATCACAACAATAAACATCACATCTGCAACCACGAAAAACAGATGAGTCTTCATCATCAGCAGTGAAATTGTAGAAGGGTTTGTCAATCGTGAAGTGTCAACCCGGGTGTCACAAGTATCGTTTCCGGTCACGAAGCCGGTAAGAAACAGTTCGAAAAATGACACCAATGCGAACACAGTCAAGACATGAAGATGCTTAACATCTGATACCAGTTGGTATCCGTTGCCTGGTAACGAAATACTTCGGTGGTAAAGACGAAGCGCTAACTATTCTTAAACTCAAGCGGTCCCTTGAGTTTAAGAGTATTTTATACCTAAAATGTGCTCATATTGTAATTTTTTCTGAAGTGGCAAGCAGCTTTGAAAACATTTTGAATTTTTTAAAATGTTTTCACATTTTGAACGGAATATTAGTTATATGCAGGCTACGGGTAGGGAATTCTTGTCAGCGGTGTATGCTTGGGCGTGGAGCGCGCGTCAACGAAAATCAAATTTTCGAAAAAAAAAGTTTTCAAAAGGTGCTCAAAATGTCATTGTCGATGCATTTTCTGATTAATTGAATATCGCGCAAACATTAAGGAAAGAATTACTTTATTGTCTTAACAACACTCGAAACTTCAAATGATCGAACAAAAAATATCAACCATGTGTTCGAAAACCCTCTTCGCGAAAGCCCTAGATCGCCTCCTCGCTGACAAATATCACTATGAAAATATCTTTCATTCCGAATTAATATTTGAATAAATATTTCAGACCAATTTACTGAATAATGGTTCTAGCGGCTGTGACAGATTTCGTCCCATGACAGATCTCGTCCCATTTTAGTCTCAACAGATTTCGTCCCATTTCAAAGCGTACGCAGATTTCGTCCCACAAATTTGGATATAGGATGATAGGATGTTGGATATGGGACGAAATCTGTTAATTAAATAAATAGGACGAAATCTGTAGTAGGACTAAATCTGTGCCAATCGTTCTAGCATTTACTTGCTATTTCCAACCAATTGATGGCCAGCTGTAAGTGACATGCTCCGAGCAATGAGTCCATACACATCGAGAGTCCAGGCACACACTCGTTGTCCAAAATTGCCAGAAAGCAGAGACAGATTGAAATGACAAATACTGGATTGTAGTAGATGTAGAAATCCAGACCCTGATTAGTCACTCGGAGACAAGCCAGCGAGAAGATATTTCGAAAGGCTACAAGACTTCCGATTGAACTGGCGAAAACAATTAAGTAATAGATAGCATCGCTAGTGAGAAACGACACCATAATTATTGTCCGGATTCAAAAATAAACTTACGTGTGATTAAAAAATTTAAAAAGCAAACTGAAATACGTCTCAATGCAAAATATTGCTGCGGAAAAAAAACTACTCAAACTTGTTTTTTTTTTTCAAATGAATTTCATTCCAACATAACCCAGATAAGAGAATGAGCTGATAGAAGGATTACAACTGCGAGAATGCCTAACCATGGTTCTAATTGATGGTAATTCGACACAAAACTGACTTGTAAAAGGCTTGAAGCGGAAGTCGAGTTTTTGCTTTTATTTCCAATCTTTTCAGGGTTTTCTTCACTATGGCAAAATAAATAGAAAACTGCCAATACTCTTTTCATTATTAAAGACGTTCAGTTATCTTTCACGCTGTTAATTAGATCCCAGGGGTCAGAATTTCCTACCATTCATTAAACAATCACCTTATCTTAAGCCCCAAAGTGGGCAATTAAACGATCATGCCCCAGATAATTAGATCTCATTCTGTTTCATTTCAATGGGGGTGCGAAAAATAAAAGAACCCAGGAAACACATTGAAAGAAGAAAACTCGCGAATAATAGACTAGACTCACATATACTCTGTTTTCTAAAAAAAAATTTGAATTGATAAATTTTATTAGATATATCTGTTATAAGCAAAAGCATCCACAATAATAGTCAATCTGTAGATAGAAACTAAAGATCGACAAATTACACAGTATTATTTCTAATGAACAGCTTATATACGATTTACACAAGCGAGTTCGAAACCCTGGGTTGTATTAAAAACAACCTCATACTTCCAACCTCGCGCTAGTTCATCAAATTTAAACCTCGGAACAGCTTGACATTCGAGATCTTAATTCAACCTGACTGAAAATCAAATGAAATTTTAGGCCTTGGGGCACTCGCAAACAAGCTTCATCAAGATTCCGGGCCACTTAAAGACAAAGATATCAACCTTTACTACTCAAAAACAAAGAAATCGTTCAAGTCTTCGATTACGAAAACCTACCTGCACTAAAGTTTCATGGATAATGGTCGCTTATATTGGATTTTCATTGTCAGTCTCTACAAAAATTTAAAAATTATCATTAAAATGGATTATAAGGATACCATGTTTCTTCGCAAAAAAATCCGAATATAATCGATTATTTTTTGGAAGAAAATGAAACTTGTTTTTGAAGCAAAATAATCCAATTTTAATCGACTATAATTGCAAATTTCTTCGAATATCTTTTCAGAATAACTGACACCAATACCAGTTGCTTAATTCGGAATACAATTGAACTTTCTCCGGTATGATGCTTTTGCCAGATTTTTTTTCAAAAAAGTTTTAAGTCACGTTTCATGATTCTGATTTCAAAGAACTTATAAACTCGAGTTTGGATAGTCTCGATGGTATAACGAACAGAGTAGATCAATTTATGCTTATGCTGAGTTAGGATGTAGGTAATATGATCAAAACACACTTGAATCAATCTGTCCGTCTTGAAAAATCTTTAAGATCTCTGGTAAGTTCTGTTGTTTTGTGAATTGTTTTTGAGAAACTTATAATTTAGGACGCTTTTTCTGCAACAGATAGGTAAGTGGAATTTAACTGGAAAACCTATAGCCGCTGACGAACCCTCTGAGAGGATAGAGTGAAAAAGTGTTAACTTGCTGAGTTTCTCCGGAAGTAAGGTTGCGAATTACGGGCGCAAAATTGGTCATAAAATCTGATCTGATGATAATATAGTTCATTTATAGATCATTTCTCATATAGTTTCTTCACGAAAATATATGAGATAATAATAATATAGATCATTTCTCATAAAGTTTCTTCACGAAAATCACCTAGCTAACACTGCAGGCCCGCAATTCCAGATGTCGCAAAACATATATGGGAAAGTTCTAAGGCAGATAATGTGTAAAAACAGACGATTTGTAGAAACAATTGTTGCCGAATTTTTTTTCAATGTTTTAGAAGCCATCAAAACTAAATCACAAGATAGAGGCATACGAGGCGGCTAAGGAGAGTTTTAACAAACGTGACCCTGAATTTCTTTTAAAGAAGCGACACGAGGCGGCCGATAATCTGGCTCGAGCTCAAGAAGTATTGAATAGGCTGCATGATGAAAATATCCAGCCTGAGTTGATTCAATCGGATGAGTAGTGGTTGATCAAATGAACTTTTTGAAAAAAGTCAGCTGGTCTATCCAAGTTTATGCACTCGCAAAATAACCGCACTTTAAGATTTGTTGAAGAAAATTTTGGCTCATTTAATTTACGTGCAGCCAAGTGTATTCACATATTAGATGCGAAGAATTTTCCATTCTTTGTTTCTGCTTTCAGAAGTTGTGCATAACACATCTTATCGGTCTGCTCTTCTTTTTTGTTCTTTTTTGAAAACATTGTGCTTTACTCAAAAAAAAATTCAACGATTGTCATTCAACTGTTAACATTATCATAAAATACCCACCGGGAACTGATTTAGTTTCTCATTAAACTGATTATAGATTTTTCGCTCAAGTAAAAAATCAGTATTTAAGCTGAGTCGTGTTCGATTTCACTGTGTTAATTTATGCAACTGAGTTTAAAAAAATTGGTAGAATTTTTTTATTTTGTGCTGCTAACGAACATATTTGAACCGTAAGCTAGCAGCACAAAATGAGATAATTCTACCATGTTCGTTCTTACTTATCTAGCTGTCTGAGTTCTTTTCCAACTCTGGTTCTAAAAACTTTATGATTTGAATTATAAAATAATAAAGTAATTTCGGCTTGTTTAAAAAAATAACAGTCAGTTCAACTATTTTGTCATTCCACTCTAATTAAAACTTCACGCCATGAATTAGCTATTTTTTGTTTGAATTATTTATGGTTTTTATATTATGGAAATCAATATGTTAATCAGTTCGTGTCATATTTGACTTGCTGTGTTTGTTACTGAGTTCTTGAAAAATTTGTGTGCTGGCCTTTGCTTGATAGTTGTCAAAAATAATTGTTTTGTTTTTATTTTTTCTGCCGTGAACAAACCATAGCTTCACTTGAAGAAAAAACTGGCTCCTGGTTTTATCTAGTTTATTTTTTTTCAGTGAATTATTTAGGCCAGCGAAGTGTTTTCAATTCATAGTCTTGACTCATCAGGTCAACATTTAGCTGAACGAAATCACTGGATCAGAATTAGTACTTTGACATGTCTTCTACAGTTCTGTTCAATCATTTGAAAACTTTTTCTGGCGAGAAAAACCAGATTGAAATTTTTCGCAGTAATGACAAAAAAAATTGAGTAAAAGAAAATGAAGTTCTTTTTTCTATCGTACGGTTAAGTAATTTTGAACGACAACTGCAGTCAATAAAGCTTATGCTAAAGCTTTCTATAGGTCCGATTCGTTGAGCTGCCCAGAATCATCTATACGTTCGAACTCGATAATATGGTTTGGTGTGGTTGTGAATAAATGTCAAGTAGACCAGCTAACTTTGGCCAAGAAATGGCCCAACATGTTTTCAGCGAGAGTCAGAACTTCGTTTTGACCCATTATATTCTTATACCAAGAGATAGCAACGCAAATGCTGGTCGAAATCTACTGTCACGGGCCTTGAAGGATTTTTTTCAAGAAGGAATAAAAGCGCGGTTTGAGAGCAGTGAACAGCAAGAGGCTGCATTCCGTGCTGCGGGCCTGTACGGCTATGAGTTGAGTCGAAGGCTTCAACGGCGATGATAAAGCAGATAAAATTAATCTTTGAAACTGAAACCATTTGAAGGTTTCTGATTCAACGAAAAACTCCTTGAACTGATCTTTTGAGCTGAAACTTTATGTAGATTAATCTAATTGGTTTGAAAGAACCCAGGAAACACATAGAAGGAAAAAGTTTGCGAATAATAGACTAGACTCACATTTACTGTTTTCTAAAAAAAAATTTGAATTGATAATTTTTATTAGATATATCTGTTATAAGCAAAAGCATCCACAATGATAGTCAATCTGTAGATAGAACTACAGATAGCCAAATTACACAGTATTATTTCTAATGAACAGCTTATATACGATTTACACAAGCGGGTTCGAAACCCTGGGTTGTATTACAAACAACCTCATACTTCCCCAACCTCGCGCTAGTTAGTCAAATTTAAACCTCGGTACAGCTTGACATCCGCAATCTTAATTCAACCTGACTGAAAATCAAATGAAATTATAGGCCTTAAGGCACTCGCAAACAAGCTTCATCAAGATTCCAGGCCATTTAAAGACAAAGGTATCAACCTTTCAAGTTTTTGATTACGAAAATCTACCTGAACTGAAGTTTCATGGATAATAGTCGCTTATATTGGAGGTCAGTCTCTCCAAAAAGTTTAAAATAATCGATTAAAATGGATTATAATGATACTATTTTTTAGGCATTAAAATCCGAATATAATCGATTATTTTTTGGAAGAAAATGAAACTTGTTTTTGAAGCAAAATAATCCAATTTTAATCGACTATAATTGCAAATTTCTTCGAATATCTTTTCAGAATAACTGTCACCAATTCCAGTTGCCTAATTCGGATTACAATGGAACTTTCTCCGGTATGATGCTTTTGCCAGATTTTTTTTCAAAAAAGTTTTAAGTCACGTTTCATGATTCTGATTTCAAAGAACTTATAAACTCGAGTTTGGATAGTCTCGATGGTATAACGAACAGAGTAGATAAATTTATGCTTATGCTGAGTTAGGATGTAGGTAATATGATCAAAACACACGTGAATCAATCTGTCCGTCTTGAAAAATCTTTAAGATCTCTGGTAAGTTCTGTTGTTTTGTGAATTGTTTTTGAGAAACTTATAATTTAGGACGCTTTTTCTGCAACAGATAGGTAAGTGGAATTTAATTGGAAAACCTATAGCCGCTGACGAACCCTCTGAGAGGATAGAGTGAAAAAGTGTTAACTTGCTGAGTTTCTCCGGAAGTAAGGTTGCGAATTACGGGCGCAAAATTGGTCATAAAATCTGATCTGATGATAATATAGTTCATTTATAGATCATTTCTCATATAGTTTCTTCACGAAAATATATGAGATAATAATAATATAGATCATTTCTCATAAAGTTTCTTCACGAAAATCACCTAGCTAACACTGCAGGCCCGCAATTCCAGATGTCGCAAAACATATATGGGAAAGTTCTAAGGCAGATAATGTGTAAAAACAGACGATTTGTAGAAACAATTGTTGCCGAATTTTTTTTCAATGTTTTAGAAGCCATCAAAACTAAATCACAAGATAGAGGCATACGAGGCGGCCGATAATCTGGCTCGAGCTCAAGAAGTATTGAATAGGCTGCATGATGAAAATATCCAGCCTGAGTTGATTCAATCGGATGAGTAGTGGTTGATCAAATGAACTT